TCGGGCGGGCCCCCGCGCGCCCCTCCCGGCCGGCGCGCGCCGCGGCCGCCCCGGCGCGCCGGGCCCGCCCGCGCCGCCGGTCGCCCCCCCGCCGGCCCCCCCGCCCCCCCCCCCGGTCGAGAACATTGGCTGGCTGTTACACATGGGTGTCATGCTCAGCCTTGCAGGCGGCGCAGGCTCTGCATGTCATTGAGAAGGTTCTGTAGCTCGTCGTCGGGCTTCCTCGACAAGCTTTGTGGGGTTATTTTGTTGTTTTCCAGTAACAAGGAATAAAGGTGGGGGTTGCAGCTGTCAGCTTCGTGATAAGGCTTGGGAACGCAATTTGGTGGGAGGAAGCGAGGGAGGTGACAAGGTGCGATATTTAGGGTGGGGGGGGGAGATTAAGGAGAAAAAGAAGGTTCACCTGGGTATCAGCGCTTTGGCTTCTTCGGCCGTCTCGCAGCACAGATTTGCGAGTTGGACCATCTCAAACTCGTGGAACTGGTCCTTGGGGAACAGGCTGTTGTGTGTTTGGACGTGAGGGGTGGGGTTTCGTTGGAAACGGGTCAGCAAAAAGAAAGGATTGTGCGTGTGGACGTGTGGGTGGTGGTGCTTGTGGAACTGGTGGCGAGAGGCTCCTCACGCGCGGATCTCCTTGACGACCTGCTTGTTGGAGAACCGTGTTGACTGCTGGCAGTAGTCGAACGTCTTTTGCATGATGCTGTTTTCAAGAGTGTGATGGAGGGGGGGGGTGAGTGAGTCGTTGGTTGTGCTGGATGGGATTGGAGAGGAGGATATGGTGTACTGGCTTACTCGGAGATGCTTCCCTCGCCAGACTCGCGGCGCTTGCGGTCGCGCGCAATGTCCAGAAGCACCTTGACTTCCGAGATCAGCAGGCAGTCGACGGTCTGGAAGTCTGCGGGCACGGGGTCAGCGCGAGACGGCCGTATGCGGCCCGGTGGGGGTGGCCGGGTGTGGCGGACACTGCCGCTGCTGCGCGCCCGCTGCTGCCGCACCGGGTCCCAGCTTGACCTGGTTGGCGTCCTCCTCCTCCTGCGCCTGGCGTCGCTTGCGGATCGCAGACATCTCTTTGCGGGAAAGCAGGCGCTGCGGTGTGGTTTGCCTTTCAAGTCGCAGCGCCCCTTTGGCGACTCGGACACACACACACACACACTCTCTCTCTCTCCCTCGCACAAACTCGCACGCACGCACACACACGCACACACCATGGCTCTGCCCAACTTCCGCCGCATCTTCCAGGACTCGCGCTCCGAGGGCGAGGAGAAGCAGGCCGCCAACGCCGCCGTGTTCAAGTTTGTGTCGTTCCTGACCATTGCCGTGTGCATGATCGTCGCGCGCAAGCTGTCGTTCCCGTCCGCGTGAGCGTGCGGGGCCGAGCGTTGGGCTGGCCATCGGGCAGGCGCTCGCGGGTGGCTCGTCGTGTCGGCGGGCTGGCTGGCTGCCTGGCTGGCTGGCTGGCTGGCTGGCGGTGGGCGGTCTGGGGGCGTGTCGATGGACCGACACTTGGGCCGGGATGACGAGGGTGGCCTGCGCAAGAAAGAACAGACTTGAGGCGACGATCACCCAATAGAGCGCCGCCAGCGTATGCGTGCACTGGCAGGCTGGAGTGAAGCAGGCGTTGCGTTGCTGTGTGCCGGGGTGGGGGGGAGTCTCGCGGCAGGCAGGCGTCGTTGCCCGCTGTGTCGCCGGCGCGACTTTCCGTCGCTCTCGCCGTCATGTCCTCGCAGTGGCCGCCGCCGCTCGGCGCCGTTCAGTCGACCGTCGGCCCGCACAGCAAGGAGCGCATTGCGTACCTACACCGCAACGAGGTCGGCAACTTCCACTACGGGTGCGCACCCCGCACTGCGCCTCGTGTCCCCGCTGAGCCGGTGTCCTCCGCGACGGCCGCAGCGAGCCGAGCGGAGGGGCGGGGAGCTGGCGACACTCGGCTGTTGTCGCTGACGCTGCCGGCCTCGCTGGCGCTCGCACCCATGTGGCTGCGGCTGCCGCTGCACGCTCTCTTGCAACGGCGGCGGCGGACGCATGCGCATGCACCTGCCGCGGTGGCGGCCTGCAGCGAGGGCCATCCCATGAAGCCCGCGCGGCTGGCGCTCACGCACAACCTCGTTGTCGGATACGGCCTGCACCGCAAGATGAACGTCTACACCCCGCGGCTGGCGACCGACGTCGAGATGACCCAGTTCCACACCGAGGACTATATTGCGTTCCTCCAGAGGTGTGTGCACGCCGCCCGCAGCCGTTGCTTCACAGCAAGCTGATCAATCCGGATGCACATTCGCCAACTTTGGGGATCGGGTTTTGGACTTTCATCCCTTTCGACCACGGAAACCACCCGCCCCCGCGCCAAACAACGCCGCCGTGTATTGCTGTGCTTCAAACGCAGCGTCACGCCGGACAATATCCAAAACTACACCAAGTTCCTGGCCAAGCACAGCCTAGGCGTCGACGACTGCCCCGTGTTCGAGGGCATGTTCGACTTTTGCCGCATCTCGGCGGGCGGGTCGATTGAGGGCGCCCGCAAGCTCAACGCCATGGCGGCGGATATTGCCATCAACTGGAGCGGCGGTCTGCACCATGCCAAGAAGTTTGAGGCATCAGGGTTCTGCTACGTCAACGACATTGTGCTGGCGATTCTTGAGTTGCTGCGGTACCACCCGCGCGTCATTTACATTGATATCGACGTGCATCACGGCGACGGCGTGCAGGAGGCGTTTTATCATGTGCGTCAGACGCCCTGTGTGTCCGTGGCGCCTGTGTGCTATGATGTGAACGTGAGAGTCTGATGTGCTGACGCTCTCTTGGCCCGGCAATATCAACACCAGTCGAACCGCGTCATGACCGTGTCGTTCCACCGCTACGACGGCACCTTTTTCCCGGGCACCGGCAGCCTGGACGAGATTGGCGCGCGGGAGGGCAAGCAGTACTCGGTCAACGTGCCGCTGCTGCCCTTCATCGACGATGCGTCCTACTTTTCCATCTTCCGGGACGTGATCAACAAGGTGATGGAGACGTTCCGGCCGAGCGTGATTGTGCTGCAGTGCGGCGCGGACTCGCTTGCGAGCGACCGGCTCGGGTGTTTCAATCTGTCGATCAAGGGGCACGGCGAGTGCGTGCGGCACATGAAGAGCTTTGGGCTGCCGATGCTGGTGCTGGGCGGCGGCGGGTACACGATCCGCAACGTGGCGCGGTGCTGGACGTACGAAACCTCGGTTCTGACGGACACGGAGCTGCCCAACGATCTGCCGTACAACGCGTATCTGTCGCACTATGGCCCGGACTTTAAGCTGCACCCGCCCATTGTCGACGGCCACTCGGAGAACCTCAACACGCGGCAGTACCTTGAGTCCGTGCGCGTGAGCATCTTTGAGCAGCTGCGGTACCTTGACGGCGCGCCGAGCGTGCAGATGCAGGCCATCCCGCCGTCGCTCGGGTCGTTTTTGGCGCGGCAGGACGACCGGGCGGATGAGGACGAGGACCGCGCGCCGGACCGCCGCGCCAACGGGTACACCTACGCGCGCCGCGACCGGCACCGCACCGCCGTGCATCCGGGCGAGCACTATGACAGCGACCGCGATAATGACCACGACCCGGGCTCGGACTTGAGCGACTCGTTCAGCGACTTGGGCGGCAGCTCGTCCGCGGGCGATGCGGCCGCGCGCGAGATCGACGTGGACGGCGCGGGGCTTGATCCCGACGACGAGGGCGACGAGCTGGATATTTGAGCAAACGGGCGGAATGAACAGACTTGGGGTCCGTGTGCCTCCGCTGACGCCAGCTTGTCTCTCCCGGCGTCCTGAAAGAGCGAAGCCGTTCCACAGGGCGTGTCTCGTCGTCTTCCAGGCCCGAGACACCGCGCGGCGGGGGTCCTGGTGCCGTCCCGGTGAGACAGTCTCACATGTGCCACCGTGAGACATCCGTAAGTATATATCTGCTAGATTGGCCGAAAAATTTGAGAGATGCACGTATGGCCGAGTGGTCCAAGGCGGTTGACTTAAGCTCAACTAACCGAAAGGTTGCGTGAGTTCGAACCTCACTGCGTGCACTCTTTTCTGCACGACAAGTATCCTGAGGACGAGGTTTGAGTGGGTCTCTGCCGAAATGGACCGCAGCATGGCGAGACGGTGTGCGCCTCACTGCCGGCCAGGCCCAGCGAACCAGCTGACACAAGCTTCGGCCATGACTCGCCTGCTCAAGACAGTCGTCGTAGGCAAAAGGTCTGCGCTGCGACATGCTGGGGGATGTCTTGGAGCACGCCTCAGCGCGCTGATGCGACACACATGCTCCACCTGCACCATCACCACCAGCGGCGTCGGCAAGACGTCGAGTGCGCAGTCTGCCCTGCCGCCGGCATCGTCGCCTTGCTGTCGCTGACGCCGCTCGGTCCCTTCCCCGGCAGTGCTCATCCGCAAGGTTCGCAACTTCTTTCCGGCAGAATACATTCCCACAGTGTGCGTCGCCGCCTTGCATCACCCGCCTCTTGCTGAAGTGCCAACGCATACACAGCTTTGATTCACACATCGAGCCGTTCCGGCACGACGGCGAGGACTACGACCTTGCGCTTTGGGACACAGGTGGCGCCGAAGAGTACGACCGACTCCGCCCACTGTCGTACCCAAACACGTCGTTTTTCCTTCTGTGCTTCGCCGTCGACGATCCAGAATCGTTTGAGCGGATCGAGTCGCTTGTGAGCGTTCTGTTGCGACCAGCAGCCTCCCGAGCCTCAAATGCTGACCTCGCCCGCATTTGTTCAACGCCAAGTTCGTACCTGAGCTCAAGCGCTTTGCGCCGGGCGTGCCCATCATCCTTGTGGGCCTGCGCGTCGATCTGCGGTCCGATTCGCAGCACCAGCAGCGCCTGCTGGATCGAGGCGTGTTTCCATACACCTTCACGCAGGGGCTGCATTTGGCCGAGAGGATTGGCGCCGCGCGGTACATGGAGTGCTCTGCGCTGACGGGCGATGGCGTTGACGCTGTGTTTGGGGCTGGCGTTGCTGTGGGACTCGATTACGAGAATCGCAAGCCCGAGCTTCAGAAGAAGCCGTGGTGGAAAGTGCGACTCAACTGAGTCCAGATAATGAAGCCGTTTTGTACAGCAGCCCCGCCCCGATAAGCCGACTGACAGGCAAGTCCACCGCAGAGACTTTGCGTGGTCTGCGCACATGTGTGTCAGCCTCGGCTCTCCGGCGGAGCTTCACAGGGCGAAGCAACACCCGGGCGGGCTTGGCTCGGAGGGACGCAGAGGGCAGACCGCCGGCGACAAGACTGGCTGACTTGCTGAGTGTCGCTTGCCCAGAGCGCCCAGCGCAGCTTTGGAAGTTTCACAGGGAGCGACGACTTGGGGCAGCTTAGCTCAAGCGGATAAGGACCTTCGGCCGACGGTTGTCGCTCGCGCCGAGCATGGATTGCTTCCCTTGGCGCTTAGATGCTGGCGCAATCGGCAGCCCGTCGACCAGGAAAATTGAGGGGCTCCGAGGCGACCCCGAGTCCGGAGCTCGCGATGCTTGGGCGACGCCGGCGGCGGCCCGAGACGCCGGCGACGAGTCCTGAGCGCGCAACGTGGCTGCGACTCATCTGGCAGCACCATCCGAGGGGCAGCGCAGGCCGGGCCGTGTTGGGACGTGCGGGACGGCCCCGGGACCCTCCGCTGGCGGACATTGGCCCCAGTCGGCGAGCTGTGTCCCGAACGGGCAGGAGAAAGCGCAGCCCTGCAACTCCGCCCGGTCGCCAGATTGACTCCCGGACACCCACCGCCTCGCGGTTCTATCGGAGGCGTCGGCGCGGCATGGCGCGGCCAGAATGCGGGCGGAGCGTTGCGGGAGCGTCGCACCGGGCAGCCGACGGCGGCCGCTCGCCCCGTTGTAGCGCCGAGCTCGCCATCACGCGCCCAGACTCGTGCCTGTCGAGCACATGCTCGTGTCATACCTTTGTGTCTGTCAGGGCGGCCCCCATCTCCCATAAAGCCCCGGCGCTCGCTCGCATTATCCGTCCGCCCTCCCCCCGCCCCGACCGTCTGCCCGGTAGCACCCGCGGCAGCCTCTCGCGCCCACCCATCAAGGTACAATAGACTCCCACCAGCCATGCGCGCGTCGTTCTCGCTTGCCCTCGCGCTCGCCACCGCGGCAACCACCGTCCTCGCCGCTCCGGTCTCGCCCAACGCCCTCCAGCGCCGCGCCGCCAACAAGCTACCCTTCTTCGCTCCCGGCTCCGTCTACGAGAAGGTCACCCCAACTGGCAAGGCGTCGTTCGGCAAGGTCTCGGAGGCCAAGGCCGTCAAGATCGCCACCGACTTCCTCGTCGCCAAGCTCGGCATTTCGGCCGCCGAGTTTAAGGTCTACAACTCGTTCACCGACGCCTCGGGCACCACGCACGTCTACGGCGCGCACCAAGCAAACGGCCTGCGTATCGCCAACCACCAGGCTGCCGCGCACGTCCAGAACGGCCAGGTCGTTTCTTTCTCGTCGTCGTTCGGCACCAGCCAGCACCTGACCAAGCCCAAGGTTCCTGCCGCGTCGGGCAAGCTAACCGTTAATCAGGCGATCGCCAAGGCCGTCAAGGACACGGGCATCCCGCACTTCAAGGACTTTGCGGCCATCTCCGAGTACGTCCACACGAGCCGCGGCATCGTCTATGCCCACAGGTTCCAGCTGCGCGACAGGTCCAAGGGCAAGTACGTCCAGGTCTGGGTCGATGCCAACACTGGTGGGTTGTGCTCTGTGCTGCCACCCGCCGCCTTTGATGTGCCCGGCCGCTGACGCCTGCTCGGCTGTTCTTCCGCTCGCCCGCCTTGCTTGCCACACTCCAGGCGAGATCGTGCACTCGGTCGACTTTGTCAGTAAGTTCTCCTACAAGGCCATCCAGATTCCCAAAATCAGCCCTCTCGATGGCTTCACCTCCGCCGTGAATCCCGAGAACGCCAAGGCGTCGCCCAGCGGCTGGTCGACGACCGGCAACTCGACCAAGGGCAACAACGCCGACGTTGCCCAACGAACGGCATCCGAGGATCCCGTGACGTACGGCTCCGGCGTCAACGGCATCTTCGACTCGGCGTGGGATGCGGCCAAGGATCCATCGGCCAACGAGAACGTCCAGGCGGCGGCAGTCCATCTGTTCTACATCACCAACATCATGCACGACATCTCGTACCAGTACGGCTTCACCGAAGCGGCGAGCAACTTCCAGCTCGACAACTTTGGCAAGGGCGGACAGGGAGGCGACGCCGTCAAAGTCAGCGTGCAGGACCCCAACGACACCGACGCCTCCGACTTTGACACGCCAGGTGACGGTCAGCAACCGCTGATGCGCATGTTTGTGTTCACAGGCACCGACCCCAAGCGCGACGGCGGCCTCGACAGCACGGTCGCGATCCACGAGTACACGCACGGCATCTCGAAGCGTCTCACTGGCGGCGGCGCAACTACTCAGTGCCTCGACAACGCCGACGCCGCCGGCATGGGAGAAGGCTGGTCTGACTTTGTCGCGCTCGTGCTCACGGCCAAGCCCACCGACACGGCTGCGCAGGCTCGTCCAGTCGGAGAGTACGTCGAGAACAACTCGGCCGGCATCCGCTCACACCCGTACTCGACGGACATGAGCGTCAGTCCCGCCAAGTACAGCGACTTTGGATCGCTCAACGAGGTTCACGACGTCGGCGAGGTCTGGGCCGCGTTCCTGTGGGAGATGTACTGGAACCTGGTCACCAAGTATGGCTTCAACACCAACCTGTACGACTCCAAGTCGACCAAAGGCAACGTCGTTGCGCTGCAGCTCATGATCAGCGGCCTGATGAACCAGCCGTGCTACCCGAGCTTTATCCAGGCGCGCGACGCCATCCTGACGGCCGACCAGACAGTCTACGGTGGCAAGTACAAGTGCGACATCTGGAAGGGCTTTGCCAAGCGTGGTATGGGCAACAGCGCCACCACGGACAAGATCGACAAGTTCGACTTGCCCGCCGAGTGCGAGGGCAACGCCATCCCAGCGCCCGCGGCTCCTGTCACGGCTTCTGTCGTGACCACTGCTACGGCTGCTACCACGACCGAGGCTGCTACCACAAGTGCACTTGCGGCCACGACGACCGAGGCCGCCACGAAAGCTGCTGGTATTGCTGCCGGGTCTGCCACAACAACTGCTGCTGCTGCTGCCGCCACGACCGAGGCCGCCACGACTGCGACTGCTGCCTCCTTGACCAATCTCGCTACAACGACCGAGCCCCCCACAACGACCGAGCCCACCGCTGCTGCTGCCGCCACAACCGCAGCCGCCGCGACTACGGGTGTCGATGTTGTTGTCAAGGTCGCCAACACGGTTACTGCCGCCACGACCGAGGCTGCCAAGACAGAAGCTGCTGCCACCGCGGCTTACACCACGGCGGCTGAGGCTGCCACCGCGGCTTACACTACGGCAGCTGCTGCCACGACCAAGGCCGCCACGCCCGCCAGTCCCCCAGGCAGCTGCCCCGTGCGCGGATCGAAGGCTTGAGCCAAAGACTGAAGCCGACGACTAGCTCATCCCAGCAAGACACTCAAAGCACTGGCACATTTCCATCCTCATGTGCACTCGAACATCATCACTTGCCCCGTTTGAGACAGTTTAATAATCGACAGATCCAAGCACCATAGCATGGTATTGAAATAAAGTCGGTTATTCACGATCTCAGAGCGATACTTGCGAGGAAAGAGCAGAACATGCTCGCTGACGAGCTACCGACATCGTCGCTCTGCCGCCGCCATCGGCCCTGCTGCGCCGGTGCTCGAGCGTCTCAGCAAAGCGCGCAGCCATCAGCAAGATGCGGCGTTCATTATGCACATGGAGTGCATCTGGATCTGGCGAGCGGCGAGCAGTGTATCAGATGGTGTCAAGGCCGAGCGATGTGCTCAAGTTCCAGACATCGGGCAAGGTAGGACGGTTGCAGCAATCATGCAGCAAGACTCATGTCGTGCGCTTTTCACGAAGCTGATCCATATCTTGGGTTGGCTCAGCGTTCTCCCACCCTGTCCGCCGACTACCGGCACGTAAGCAAACCGCTTTGTGCTCGTTGCTTGAT